TAATTTCTCTTGGTTGTGTGAAAAATAAAAAAGATTTATTAACATATTTGCTTCTCTTACATAGGTTGAAGTAGGGGCGATGGGCATCCGACTCCAACATTGGATTGAGGCGGATCCCCATTTCAGGCGATCAGAGGCTCTGTCCCTCGTCGATATCTCGGCGGTGTTTGTCTTAATCGAACATCCTGTTCTGAGACGTTACTAACATGCGGTGAGCGAGTGGACTCCAGGTTAGGGGCTGCCGCTAGCACCGTTCTTCTTCCCTCCCCCTAGAGGACAAATGCGAGCGGTAGCAAACAGATGAGGTTCTTACAAGAATCGTCTTCCATATTAACTTCAGGTATTTTCCGTACTTTATTTCTTTTCTTGGAATTCGATCCGGGTGCTGGACCATAAATTATGACGTAATTCTGCCCAGGTGTTTCTAATGCGGCCCATCGCTCCAATTTACAGTCTCCTCGGAGTCGATTGCGTCCACTTATTCCAGCTGATGGCTCACCCTCGTTATCACTTCTCTGGGCACTTCAGGGCTACTCGGGCCAGGATTGCCAAGGAGGACGGCCTGTAGCCCCAGCCTCCTTTCTTCTGCTTCCGGTGGAAGGGTCCGTCTCGAGCTGGCCCTAGTCATTTCGGGCCAACTCGGTTAAGTGATTGCGCTTTAAGGATCTCCCAACAGGCTTATTTTCAGAGTGCTACCGGCCCCTGTCCTAATTAACCTCTGCGGGCTTGCCTAATTTGCACCTTCCATACAAGCATTCCTATTATACTGAGGTACTTCTGTTTTCTCTTAGGAGAGGATAGTACTGGAATATATCCGCGGTGAATACGCCTGGGTCCTATTTACTCCTGATACATTAATTGAGTCACTAATTGACTAGTAAATCTTCTCTATAAAAAGGATTCATAAAGAATTTTGTATATCACCTTTGTATTTTTTGCCGTGATTTCCAGGTTTCCTGACCGGCTTGTTGATCGTCAGAAATGAATGGAGCTAATCCCTACAGAATGCATGGAGAACTAACCTTCAGTGGTACCACTGCAGGCTTTTGACGAACAAGAAGGAGGTAGAGGTACTACGCCGCGTGATATACTGCATGAGGATTCTTCGTTCCTTATTTCCTTCGCCTTTATTATTCACCCTTATGTATTGCACATCTTGGCCTGTATTTCTGTTACTCCATATTATTTGTCACACTGACATTGATTAATACTCAAGAACATGACTAATGCTCAATGCAATTAGAGATTTGAGCAGAAACAGGAATAAAAAAGTACAGAGTGTTGTGCTTATATTTTTCGAAAGAGAAAAGGAAAAGAAAGAAAATAAAAAGTTTATTTTATGTCGTCATTTATTTCTAATTTTTATAATTCTTTTTTCTTTTCTTCTTCTTTTCTGTTTTCTTTTTGTTTTTTTTTCATGCCCGCCTGGCTGGGTCGGGAAGCGTGGGCCGCGCCTGTCTGCCGGGGACAATTGTGCGCTCACACCGCTGGGGAGTAGAAATTTCCGGCGTGTTCAACGCCTTCCTAGGGCGGTGCAATGTTTCCGCCACGCTGGCGGCGCGTGCACGCACTTTCAGGCTGGCATACCCCGCCTTACAGACTTTTTTTCATTCTGACTCTCCACTGAACAAATGTGCTTAAACAGCTTAATTTAGTCAGTTTTCTCTGTTCTCCCCCTCCCTTTTTATTATTGATCATTGAATTGTTTTTTTTAAATTTATTATTTAGTATTATTAATTATTGTTTTTTTAAAAAAAAAAATAATAACAGGACAGACGAATAAAAAATAAAAAAAATGAATCCTTATTACAAACCATTCAGCGAGGAGGCATAGCTGGACACAGGAGTACCAACAGTGTGAAAAGATCAATTTGGAGGAAGGGTACGGAATTTCCTCTGAACCGTTAATCACCCTTAGGGTGTAGTGTTTGACTGGGACTTTTTGCGAGCTTGTATTAGATTTTGGATCCTGAAACTCAATGTTTTTTCTGTTTGGGGCCTATAGAATAGGAGGAAAGGGTCCTCTCTTTGAGGAGTTTTGTGCGATTTATGGGTGTGACGCCAATGCTCCCCTGGTCAAGCACGAGGTGAAGATTGGGTATGTTAATGCCTTCATTGAAAACCTGTTTTCGGTTTAGCCCGGGGCTATGAAGTGTCAGACTGATTTAGATTAAAAGTGGCGAGTCTGCTGCCCTCGATTGAATGAAATTCTCCAGAAGACTTTCTCGGAAGATCCGTACCGGCGCCATGAGATGAGGAATGCGGGCTATGAGGTTTGTTTTGCCTTAATTGGCTGGCTATTTCTATTCCAACCCCGGACCCGGGTTTTTTCTTATTCAACCGGGACCCGGGTTTTGGAGACTTGCGGCTTTGCCCTATGGTTTGGCAAATGGAGGACATGGGTTGCATTGGTGGCATTGTGCTGGCTGAGACCATTAGAAGTCTTGACAGAGCCGCTTTGGGGTTCGACGATTGGACCGTCTCTCCCCTTGTCTTGCAGGTATTTCCCCTATCATCTTTCCTCATTCTTTTCTTCCTCTTTTTTTTGTTATAACGGAAAAGATCCATTATTCAGGTTTGGTTGAAGGATCACCTTCAAGTAGTGGCTGCTCCGACCTCCCTTCCCTACAATCCTTCTCAGTATCGCATGCGGAAAATCTTGCTCTCCCACCATTCTACTGAAGCATGGACTTCGTGGCTAGTTGAATTGGGTCCAAATGAGATACTGTGGTTCGTTCCTTGGTACAATATCAACCGCTTTATTCAGGTCAGCTTTCGCCATTCTCGGGTTTATCTTCTAGGCCTCACACACTGTACTTGGTACTGCGCTTCTCGCGCTTCGCTGCGTTCTGAGGCCAGATGGGGATAGATCAAACTGTCCCCTATTATGGTATGCACATTGATTCAGCCATTACCCCGGGTGTTACCCGAGCCGTCCTTAGGGCTTGGGTCAGGGATCATCATATGGTTAGGCCTTTGCCTAACCCTGTCGGTGTTCAGACTTCTCCCGAGTATCGAACCTAGTTCATTGCCGTTGTCTGGCCGATTGAGAGACCAAGGAGAACCGCACTGCTGAGTGCACTCGAAGGCTGGGTTGAGACTGACACTGATGATGAGGTTGGGACTGGTGAGGAGATTGTGTTGGCCCCTTGGACAGGCGAGGTTGGGGAGAGTTTACCAACTAGGGATGACTCGGAAGATGTTGCCCCACGGAGGCGACGGGACCTAGACTCTTATGAACTTTTGTGATTTTTCCTTGTTTTGCCTTTCGTTTGGGACTTTGGATTTATCTTTTGATGTATGCTTTACACTTTCTTTAGTTATTTTTGGACTCTCTTGCTTGATTCTGGATTACTTGTTTGATTCTGGATTATTTGACTCTGTCGTTTGGCTTTTAAATTTTCCAATATTTATTTAGGCTCTAATTTTTGCCTAAGCCGCCCTTTCGGGTTTTCAGCTTAGCGAGCTACCCCCTTTTGCTTAAGCCGCCCTTTCGGGTTTTCAACTTAGCGGTTCTTTCTTTTCTCTTTTTTTTTTTTATTCGGCAAAGAAGAATGAAATTTGAAATGTGTTTTTTTTATTAATGCTTAGACCGCGCCCAAAGAGGGCTGCCTACATATAACAATTTGAACTGTATATTTTTTCACACAAAAGAGGCTCGAAATTTAAGATAACTCAGGTCTAATGTAGTGTTGTCAAGATGGGTTATCCTTGCAAATGATTAAAACAATTTACACGAATAATACCTTTTTAACTGATTCTAAATTACATGGATTAGTGAATTCCAAGCCCATCCAAATCAGTCAAAATAGACGGCTCCGCCTGACAAGATCTTCTTTCAACACATAGGGTCCAGCCCAATGAGGGAACGGAACTTCCAACACGATGTATAGGGATCTCTACACGAGCTCTATGTATAATTCCTCCAAGTTAAGCACATGAGACAACCTTTCTTCCATTTCTCGGTCTGTGACCACCTTCTTGTAAATTTTAATGTTCGTTGCCATTGCTTCTTTTGATAAGACTTGATTTCGGTGAATTCGCATTTTCGCAGTCTCCGGTTTTTCAATCATACCCAGCACGCTCTCAAATGGAAATTCTCAGCCAATTGCTATTCACTGATCTGGTTTCCACAGATAAACCCTCGCGACTGAACTTCCAGCTCAATAGGCAATACTGTCTTCCATGCCAATACACTTAGTGCGGACCGCGGGTTGCACCAGTAGGACCGTTCTGATTGAAGGTCACTGTATCCCCATAAAGCATGTTGGTAGTTTGGTTCATGCCATTGTCGAGCCGTCGCCTCCTATCCTCTGAAATCGAGTTTTGCAAAATGACTTGTTATAGCTTGTTTGCGCATTCCTTCGACGGCCCCATTTGTTTGTGGCGCGGATAGGGTGAGGACTTATGGTGCGAATCTTCTTATGCCTTAAGAGGTCCAGTAGCAAATTCATTGTAGCACAGTCAAATTTACTGTAGCAAAGTCAACCAACAGGCTTTTTGAGCCTCAAAATTTGAGTATTCACAATACCGACAAAGGATGCTGGTACGTACAAACTGTGTTGCCTTCTTGGCGTTTAACATTGAAAAGGAAACTGCCTCAATCCATTTAGTGAAATAATCTACAGCGACCAGGATAAACTGGTGGCCATTAGAGGCTTTCGGGTGGATCTTTCCAACTACATCTATGCCCCAAGTTGCAAAAGGCCACGGTGAAGCAATTGGATTCAAATGGATCGGAGGCCGTTTTTGCAGCTTAGCAAAAATTTGGCACTCATGGCACTTACGCGCATGCCTCACACAATCCGAATTCATAGTTGACCAGTAATAAGGTCACCGCCAGTCCGCCGTGAGCCTCACAACAATCCGCATTCATAGGTTGACACAGTAATACCTTAGGTTCATGGATTGAGCCAGAGCTATCCCGTGCATGTGTGGCCCAGACTCCCCATTATGTAAGGAATCCATGATGGCTTGAGCTTCTCCCTCCTCAACGCACCTTAGGTGCATGCCATTCCAACTTCTTTTATACAAAACTCCCCCAGGAAATATCCAGATGCTAACTGTCTCAATGTCCGTTGATCAGTCTTGTTGAATCCCTCCGGGTAGGCTTCATTCTGGAGATAATTCCGTATATCCCAAAACCACGGCTTGTCATCGACTAGATTCATGACATGTGCTGGCTGTTTCTGCAGCCGAACCGTCAAAGGTCGAATGACTTGGTCTCCTGTCAGCGGGCGAGCCGAGAGTAACCTGTGCACCTGGATTCCCACGATATCATTTAACCATGGAGAAGCCAATGCGTAGGAGACAAGAGGCACGTCTCGAATTGGATTGTGGGACTGGCAGAGGACCATAGTGGGGACAAGATACCATTCATCAAAACTGTTTGAGCATGCCGTGCTAAAGCGGTTGTAGTAAAGAAACACTCACAACGCCTCCTACCTCTGATTTTCCCACTTCCTTAGAGCCTGGGAAGACTATCAGGTTTGGAATCTCCGAAAACACTGAGGAACTTTTTTTCTCTTTTTCCAAGCTGCTTCTAACCCCTTGCCCTTGATACAGGCTTCGTATTCGGCCTCATTATTGGTACAGTCAAAGTCTAGTTTAACTGCAATTGGGACGTATTCTCCACAAGGAGTTTTGAATACAACTCCAATCCCATTTCCATGGTAATTCGAGGCTCCATCGAAGTACATCTCCCAGACCTGATTTTCCAGGTGCAACAGGTTTTCGTCGGGGAATTCTACCTTCGGCATTTGATCTTCGACCGGTAATTCGGCTAACTGGTCAGCCAAAGCTCCGCCTTTTACTGCCTTACGTTGTACAAATTTCAGGTCATAGGCTGCGAGCACTGACACCCACTTAGCCATCTTACAGTCTAGAACCGGCCTCTCCATAAGGAATTTCAAGGGGTTCGAATTCAGAAATAACATAGGTGGTGTAGGACGAGAGATAGTGCTGCAGCTTTGTGCTGCAGCTTTGTACAAGCCCACACCAGAGCAAAACACAACTTCTCTATCTTATTGTATTTCAGCTCGTAGTCTAGCATCCTTTTGCTGAGGTAATACATGGCATTTTCTACCCTTGTATCTTGTATCTTCTGCTTGTTGAGCTAATATGGCCCCCATTGCTTCTTCTGTTACCGACAAGTACAGTAGCAAAGGCTTTCCTAGCCTTGGTGGTTGTAAGACTGGCGGGGATAGCAGGTATTGTTTGACTTGGTCAAAGGCCGCCTGACAATCCTCATTCCATTTGACTGCCACTCCTTTCCTAAGTAGCTTGAAAATTGGGCCACAGGTATCGGCCAACTGATTGATGAAACGACTAATGTACTGTAACCTTCCCAAGAAGCCTCGGACTTCTTTTTCTGTCCTTGGTGCTGGCATTTCCAGAATAGCTTTGGCTTTCGAAGGGTCAATCTCTATGCCCTTCCGACGAACCATATGCCCCAGAAATACTCCGGATGTGGCTCCAAACAGACATTTTGCCGGGTTGAGCTTCAAATTATACTTTCGAAGTCTAAGGAAGAACGTACTTTCGAAGTCTAAGGAAGAACTTCTCAAGTACTGTTGTATGTTCTTCAGCTTTTTTCGATTTAACAACCATATCGTCCACATACACTTCTACTTCTTTGTGAATCATGTCATGGAAGATGGTCGTTGCCATCCTTTGATAGGTCGCCCCGGCCCGGCATTTTTGAGCCCAAAAGGCATGACCCTGTAACAGTAGGTTCCCCATTCCGTGGTGAATGCCGTTTTCTCTTTATCTGGCTCATGCATCATTATCTGATTGTACCCGACAGCAAGATCGGTCAAGGAGACCATCTCGTGTCCAGCCATTCGGTCTACCAGCAAGTCGATATGTGGCAGGGGGAAATCGTCCTTCGGACATGCCTTATTCAAATCCCGGTAATCCACACACATTCTAACTTTACCATCTTTCTTCGGCACCGGCACTATATTTGCTAACCATGTCGGGTAGGCAATGGGTTCTATGAACTTGTTTTCCAGCTGCTTGGCAACTTCCTCCTTGATTTTCAAGGACCATTCTATTTCTGGTTTTTAGCCTTCTTAAGCTCTGTTTCACTGGCTTAGCCTCGGATTACACTGGAATCTTGCTGCACCACTAGTGCCTGGGTCAGATTCCACCCGTGATGTCACTTGGCTTCCACATGAAGCAATCAGCAAATTTCTTCAAACATTCACTGACCTGTTCCCTGTTCATGCAATCAGATGCAATGTATGTGTGTTCGTTTTCTTCTTTGCCAATCATTATCTTTTCTTTTTCATTTTTTATTTCATTTATTTGATTATCACTTTTGCTTGGAAATGCTTGGAAAGATAGATACGCAAGGTAATCTAGAATTTGCAAGCCTTTATTGATTATGACGGAATCGTCTTCAAAAATTACATCGAATTTGAAATCTGGATCCTCTAGATCCGACGCAGACGACTTAGAACTGGAACTGGACTCTGACTCGGTTTCAGACTCGGGGTCAGGCTCAGACTCAATACAAGACTCGATTACAGACTTTGGTACTAGGTTTGACTCGGGAGGGATCAGACTACGAGAGGTCCAGACTCGGAGCTCAGTACAAGGCAACTTTGGATTTTACAGACCTCTCTGATACTAGATGCTGAACTCTCTGGTGATGCGGCATTTGACAGCAGCCCGCTCCTCGCCCGGAACTAAGAAGTAAGCCATGTCATCGAGTCTTCATAGTAGGGTCCTGTTGGTCTGGAGGACGGAAATTACATGTAGGCTGCACTTCACAGTCTTGCCCTTCCCGGATACCCACTTCCAGGTGATAAACGCAAACCTTCATCAGAACGAAGCGAACCCCCGTAAGGAGCGTGGCATTGAAAGTAGATTCTTCTGTCGGTCCCAACTCGGCGTTACTTACTCGCCGCCCTATGTCCCGCCCCAAATCATCCGAAAGAAAAGTATGCATCCTATCAACCCAGGCAGGCTCTCATCTTCGGTTAACAGATTCCCTGGTCAGCAAAAGGGCTCCCGGGAAGCCACAGTTAAGAAACTGCTCTCCAGGTTTGCAGAACGTAGCTGTTCAGAGTCAAATAGGTAAGGCCGGATATGTATTACTTTTCGTCCTTCCGCTTCGGGGTTTCTCAGCTTACGCGCTCGTTAGGTGGCTCATGAACCCAATCGAAGGTTCCCCCTTCATTCACTGGACCACTTCCCCAGGCTTGCTGAGTTTGGGATGAGATAGCTTAATCCTCGCATCCCCTTAGCCTACTAACCCAATTGCCTGGCAGATAATAGAGACATCTTAAGCATGTATATGGGCAACTAGCTATTTGCAGGTTCTAATAACTTGAGGCACGCGTCCTCTCCGAAAATCAAAGAGAATTATCGCAGAATTTAGCACGTCTTTCCCCTTCTATGAAACTGCACAGTAGTCATAGGGCATTGAACCACCTTCCGAAGGGGTAGGTTTGGGCGAGTTCTCGAAAGGTTTGACCTTTCAAAGACGAGGCTGGCCCTTATAGCTTTGTTGACTGGCTGTAAGTCAATTACCCCCCTTCGGAATTTGCTTTGGATCAACTATATGTCACTCATATATACCGGAGACGTTGACCCTATATTGTGCCATACATTAATGAGGACACTAATTATCACCATTCAGGGTCGATGACTACTAAAGCCCAGTGCTTCAAAAAGCCCAAAGGTCCAAGCCCCCGCTCTTTTGCGAGAGGCAAAGGACGGCATCTGTAGTGCCAGTGAGCAAGGGATAACGAGGGTATTGCGCTTGGTGTCCGGTGTATGGCGGCATGAAGCCGGGGCGCCAAGCAAGTAGTTGCAAAAGCTAGTGCACATCAATTACCTGGAAGGGACTTCCATCACAGGCCGGCCCAACTGTAGCTTCAGCTGGCAACCCCCAAATACTTCCCTCGGGTGCTGTCATAGGCCTTCACTATCTGGTTCCGAGGGAGTGAAGGTCAGTTTCCCTCCCAACCCAGGACACTGGCTATCTTAGTGGGGGGCAAGACGGTGCAGTGCCCGACCCAATTATTCAATGAGAAACCACTGGACGCACGGTTTTGTCTCGAGTCCTGAAAGGGACATAAAGAGCATTGTTATGACTTCGCCTCCCTCCTTGGGGCCAAATCGTCATCCGAGGAACCGATGCTTGTGTTTTTCGTCATCAGAGAAACCGATGCTTCATGTTTTAGATGATTGGGTGAGGGTGGATACTAGCACTTCAGGGCTAACTTCCACAGGCGTCTGAAGTTGACTTAAAGCCTTGCAAAGAGCTTGGCGATGAGGAAAGGATGATGCCAAAAGTTCCCAGATTGACATCCTAGCTTGTGTCTTTTTTAATTGTGACAGCACCCTTTGGCTCCTCTGCCCTCTGATAGGGTTTATTTTGAATTTTGTCCAAAACTAACGGTTCATATTGTCTCCCGCTCCTAGTTATAGCATCAAGTTCTCTGGTCAGGTCATTCAAATCCAAGACACAGATGTTGTTCATTTCAAGGAATAGTTTGAAAGGATCGATTAGTTCCTGCTCAGTTATAATAGCATTTATCCCATGATTTGGCAAAGGATTAGTGCTAATGTTAGGCTTACTCCTTGGAATGATCGAGCCATTGTCTACTAGGTCTTGGACGCGGTTTTTGAGTGTCCAGCAGGCTTCGGTCTTGTGCCCGTATCCCTGATGATACTCGCAGTATTCATCTGCCTATAGTTTCTCGGTAGTGGATTGGGAGGTGGCCTTGCTTCTAAAGGCTTGATATAGTTGGCCTTGACAGCCTCTCGGAAAACCAAAAGTCGGAAAAACCAAAAGGATCGGCATTCCAAGCAGTATGTTCTTTCTCGCATTTTGATTCCATTCCTCATATTTCCCCTACTCGTACAGGGGTTGGTGGGAGTGATGCTTCGCCACTTCGGTGGACTTTTAGCTTGGTTAGGCTTCTTGTACTTAGACGCGTCCCTGACTTTGAGGTTCCTGAGTCTTCTTTCAGTTGCCGGATCAGATCTTCCACCTTTGTAGCAGTGGCGATGAGCGACTGGAACGTTGGTAGGTACTGGGTTTGCAACCGTTGTTGGTAAACAGGCTGCTGGTTTTTTATTATTATATTGACCTGCTCCTGCTCAGAAGGCTGATTAATCATCTGGGCAGCTTTGGCCCTCCACCTCGTAAGGAACGAGGAGAAAGGCTCATTATTCTTCTGCTTGGTGGTCTCTAACTCTCTTCGAGTAACGTCCACCTCCATATTGTAGTGGTACTGTGAATTGAATGCATTACAGATATCCTCCCAGGTCTTCATCTTAGACCGATTAAGGCTAACAAACCATCTTAATGATGCAGCACCGGTATGGAACAAACTGTAGGCAAGGAACTTGCTGGCTCAATCCAAAATGGGTTAAGACACCTACATACATTTTCAGATGAGTCTTTAGGATAAGTGGTTTCCATATCAAATTGGTCCATGTTGGGCATCTTGAACTTAGTTGGCAACCTGGGCTTCCAGGGAACAAGGGGACAAAGGACGTCCATGGTCCACCACTTCCCTTGTGGGTTTGGAGGAGCAGTGATGGACCTCTCTTAGGAGCTCTAGTTTCTCTTCTCATTCTCTGAGCTTCCAGCTTCAGAAGCATTTTAAAGGGCATCTCATTCCAGGTTAGGGCAAGGGTTTGTAGGTCAGCAGCAGGACCCTGGTTGGAAGGCAGCAGGTCCACTTCCCCCAGCGAAAGCCCCAAATTTTTTCCTTACCCATTCCCATTACCCAGTTAGCTATTCAGGGGACGGTCCTGTGGGAGCTAGTGCCTCATTCATTCTGGCCTCCATTCTAGCCTCTAGTTGTTCAATGAGGTGTTTGGATATCAGCACAGTGATGCCATTGGTGCG